TGTGTGTGTGTGTGTGTGTGTGTGTGTGTGTGTGTGCGCATGTGTGTGAAGGTCAGAAGACAACTTTGCATGTTTTCCTTCAGGTGCCATTCACCTTTTAAAAACTTAAATAACGTTTATTTATTTGTGTGGGGGAGTGGGCATGTGGAGGTCAAAAGACAGTTTGAAGGCGCTGGCTCTCTCCTACAGCCATGTGGCTTCCTGGGGATTGAACTCAGGTCACCAGTCGTTACAGGAAGGGTCTTTTCCAGCTGAGCCACCTCAGTGTCCCTGTCTGCCTTGTCTTGAGAGACGGTCTCATTGGCCCAGAACATACCAAGTAGACTAGGCTGGCTGGCCGTCAAGCCCGGCCGGGGATGTGTCTATCTCTGCCTCCTCACTTCTGCCTCTTCAAGCAAGTCCCACCACACCCAGCTTTTTCCACATGGTTTCTGGGGGCTCAAACTCAGGTTCCCATGTTTACAAAGCAAGCATTTTCCAACTGAGATATCCGCTATCCTTCCAGCCCCAGTTCTGTTTTGTTTTTGTTTGTTTGTTTGTTTGTTTATTTTTTTAGGGTGGTGGTGGAATATAATGGACCCTTCAAGTTCCCTTCATACATGTTTGTTCAGGTGTTATGATCTGAAACCCCCTCTTCTACCCCAGTATTGTCTCCAGAGACAAAAGCCTACCTTAGGGAGAATAGTAAAATAAATTACGTAGACAGAAAGAAGAATGTCCTGGCATGGGTTGTACGGAGACCACAAGCAAAGGGACTCCTCCTTCAGCCTCCAATTCATGGAGACTGGCTTGGTTTCTGAAATAAGGGGGGGGGGGGACAGGTACCTGCCTGCCCTTGTTATACAGCTAGCAGACCTCCAGACCCTGATTCTTTCTTCTGAATCCAGGTTCCAGCCTATTTCTTTGGGACCCTGGATACCCCAACCACAGCCACCTCCACTCAAAGAACAGGAAATCCCCCTTGTCACCCCTGTCCTCGGGCTCCCAGCTCCCACAGGGCTCATGGTTCAAGTACATCAATCCCATCCTGTCTTTGAACAACAGGAGATGGCTTTCCAGTGTGCTGGGGAGGCCGGGACTCCAATCCTCAGGTCTCTTGGAGGTCTAGGTGTCTGGGCTCCAGCAGGCAGTCTATATCCAGCCTGAGTATATTTCTGTGTGTAGGCTCAGAACCCAGTAGCTGAGACCTCAGACTCGTGGGCTCTGATGGCAGCTACATTCTCGTAGACGACATTTGCCACTTTCTCATAGGTTGCCTCCTTTCCAGATGAACTCTGGAGGGATTTCAGGATACACTGGTGGAGGAATACATACTGGGCCTGGGGAGGTTCACAGGAATGAGCAACTGTCCCCAAAGGGTCCCTCATCCCCCCCCAACCATGCTCACGTCTCCTTAGAGCCCCTCACCTCTGTCTGCACCATCAGTGGCCGGCTCTCTCTCATCTTCTTCAAGAAGCTGAGGGGACCCACCAGCCCCTCACAGTCCAGCCGTCGGAGCAGGACGTCCAGCGCAATGAAGGTGCCCGTCCGGCCCACACCAGCACTAAGCAAGGGACAAGACAGGGGTCAGGCCCGTAGAGGGGAGGGCAGTCTGGAGTTCTTAGCTGAGTTCATATGGTTTTGGACCACCCAAAAAGTGGGACACTCAACCAACCGCAGTTTAAGTGGGGACTGTGAGGCACAGAGACTAATTTTTCTGCATGTGTCGGCCGTGTTCCGGTGAACTCAGCTTGATCTTTTCACTGCTGACAGGCATGAAAATGGGCTATATCAGCCCACCCATTTTACACATGGCAACATGAAAACTGAGGAAAGGGGAGTCATGTGTGCCAGGGCGTGCAGCTAATAACAGCTCTGGAACTGAAATTTGAAGGAGGAACTCCTAACCGAATTGGTTTGGGGTTTGCTGTTGTTGTTTGGTTTTGGTTTTTTCAAAGCAGGGCTTCTCTGTGTAGCCCTGGCTGTCTCCTGGAATTCGCTCTGTAGACCAGGCTTGCCTAGAACTTAAGAGATCTGCCTGCCTCTGCCTCCTGAGTATGTGTGATTAGAGGTGTGTGCTTCCATGTCCAGCCCCTAATTGCTTTTTAAAGGGTCTATTTACTTTTAATTATGTGTATGTATGGATGTCTGTGGTGGATTCTAAGAACTCCCCAATGGAGAGACTTCCAGGGTAGTACCCACCTGCAGTGCACAATGGGAAGACCTCCATCCATGGTCTGGTCCAACCACTGCCGAAGCATCTTTTGGAAAGCCAACAAGGGGTCTGGGGAGTAAGGAACTCCATGATCTGGCCAGGCCAGGTAGTGGAATTGGCGCACAGAGAGAGACTGCTGTTCTTTCACCTGGGAGGAGATGAGGGCTGAGGAGGGGGAGTGTAGAGACTCCAGGAGTTTCTATGCCTAACAGGAGAGTCTGGTCTACACACTGCAGGGGAGGCTTCTTGAGGAGTTCCGGGCGGGGTTGAAGGGACTCACATGGAAGAGCTGGAGATCCCTCACTGCCCAGCTCTCCTTCACTTCCTCATTCAACAGGGTCACCTGCAACTGCCCGTAGGTGCAGGGTTGAGAATCCAGAGGCCAGTAATGCTCACACTTCACCTGGGCAGGGAGACAGGGACAGTCAGAAAACAGAGAACAGGGTGTGTGTGTGTGAGTGTGTGTGTGTGTGTGTGTATGTGTGTGTGTATGTGTGTGTGTGTGTATGAGTGTGTGTGTGTGTCTGTGTGTGTATGAGTGTGCGTGTATGAGTGTGTGAGTGTGAGTGTGTGTGTGTGTGAGTGTGTATGAGCATGTGTGTGAGTGTGTGTGTATGAGTGTGTGTGAGAGTGTGTGTGTATGAGTGTGCGTGTATGAGTGTGTGAGTGTGTGTGTGAGTGTGTGTATAAGTATGTGTGTATGAGTGTGTGTGTGTGAGTGTGTGAATGTGTGTGTGAGTGTGTATGAGCATGTGTGTGTGTGTGTATGAGTGTGTGTGA